GGTGAGTAGTTCTAGAGAGAGGTGGGGGTAGCAAACATGAATTCAACATCATATCCAAAGTTCTAATTGCTAAAGTTATAAATTAGATGACCTAAGGCAAATCCAAAAAACTGAAATAGATGCATTCTAAGAATAAAACTTGGGAAGCTCAAACACATGGCTCTCGGTAGTCAGCAGACAGGCGTTTTGATGAACTGGCAGCTGCACCAGTAAGGCTGGCCCTTGGATTCAGGTGGTTTTCTGGATGCATCCCTCCCCCAAAGATCTCCTAGAGCCCACATCCACTTCCTAAAATATTGCCCAGCTACAAGCGCTCTGAGAAACTCCCTGATCACCCCAATCAGAAACCAGCCCTCCACCCAACTTTGTGTCATTTCTAAGGCTGTGGCACATGCATCCTGTATCATGGTTTATTTATACAAATGTCAGCATCCCTGTCCAACTGCTCAGCTATAGCCCCACTTTCCCAAACATCCTACTACTTCCTGCACCAAAAAAAAAAGAAAGAAAGAAAGAAAGAAAAGAAAAGAAAAGAAAAGAAAAGAAAAGAAAAGAAAAGAAAAGAAGTAAACAAGAGGGGGAAAAAACCTTTTTTTGGTGTATGGGGGTGTGAATTTATCTTTTCAAATTCTTTATCTTGTGATTTCTGGTCTTAGCTCATCCCATAGAGAAAACATGATGGTATAAAAAGAGAGGAAGCTAAGGAGAAACTGGAAAGGGCAGCTGCAAATGTCCCCTTTATCATATTCTTTTCTGATATTTTCTGTTTCCGCGCACCCTGTAGGTTAGATGCTATTCAGAATACACAAGATATGATCCTCTAAATCAGTGGTTCTCAACCTTGGCTGCACATTAGAATCACCTGGGAATTTTTTTAAATCCTGATTTCTGGGTCTCATCCTCCAGAAATTCTGTTTCTGTGTTACTAATGTTGTGGCCCCACCCCATAACAAAGAAACAGAATTTCCGGAGGATGAGGCCCAGAAATCAGGATTTTAAAAAGATTCCCAGGTGATTCTAATGTGCAGCCAAGGTTGAGAACCACTGCTCTACATGAAGTATTCTATCCTTAGGTGATATGACCTATTTCCATTAATGATTAATTCATGAAACCCTAAGCCTTCCTCTTCCCCCCACCCACATGCACACCCTCAGGGCTTTAACTTTAAATTACACCTACTCACCCACTGGGAAAATCAAGTCTACACCGAACTGCTGATTAATTTGACAGGCAGGTATACGGTAGTCTATAGCATGTTACCAACACTAAATTCTACAGTAATTGTTTTTCTCTAAGTTTCTATTGCCTAAGGCATATCTTGGAGATTTATTTTTTTCCTTCTCTGAAAGCTATAAAAAAATTATGAGCTACATCCTGGGCCAAGCATGTTCAATACTATGATTTTAAATTTAAGTTTCAAGTTAAAGAATTACTTTCTCTCCTGTTCAATTTCAATCTTAAAAAAGCTGCGGGTCACTAGCTAGTGTCATTAAAGTTTTATTTGAGGTTTTCAATGGGCCCATCGAGGGCTGTCTCCTGAGCACAATGAAGATACGGGTCTGAATGCATCCATCGGAACCAGGCTCCTAGTTGGGAATCAGAGAGGCAGCCGGAACCCACACAGGGAGCAGCCCAGCCTCAGAGCCAGCCTCTTCACAGCTGGACTGCTCCCCACCACTCACAGAGCCCACACACTTAGGGGTCCCCAGCTGAAGACACTGGGCAGGGTAGGTAAGGCGGGGTTGGCCTGAGGGGCCCCTCAAGGCAACTCCAACTCTAGGAGTTGCTTCAGTAATAGAAAGAAAAGGTTTTAAATCCTGGGTGTGTCTTCACCCTGTATGGCAGCTTTAAGAACTAAATAGAGAAAGAACACCGGCCCAGGACCCCAAGTGAGCCATCCTGATTCCAGTTTGCTCAGCTATAAAGTGGATGCGTGCCAGAAGCCGGTCCATCCTTGCTGCTTGACACAGTCGCTGCAGGAAAGAAACATCTGCACAGCATATGTTTCAAGGGACCTGGCGTATATAGCACACTGTTCTTAATATGTTTGCTCCCCTTAGCGCTGTGTGTTTTAACCAAGGTCACCTCTCCGAGAAAGGTTGTTTCCCCAGGTAGGGATTTTTCCCTGAAGTTAGGGAGGGGATGAAACTCCTTAACTAAGTGCCAGGCAGGTAGTTAATCACTTTAACTACAAACAATCATGCTTAAGCTACATAATCTTTACTCCCTGGAATGGAGATAAGAAATGCCCTAACCTTTGTAATAGAAATTGACAGGATTAAAATCAACTGGGATAAATACGGATGTAACAAGACAATAAACAGCAGAACCTCTCTGGAGATCCAGACCAGAACTTGGCTGGAGATCCTGGCTGGAGATCCTGGCTAGGCTGCTGATCAAGGACACTGTCTCCGTGTCCTTCCTTCTTCGCCGACTCCGTCTATGCCTTTGGGAACCCCTGGACCTGCTGGGGCAGGACCCCGGCAGATGCAAAGATACCCTTGGGTTCCCAGGACCTACAGACGTAGTCCACTTCCCTGTGTCTGCTCCATTTGTCCAAACCTTGTGGAAAAGGCAAAAAGAGATGGAAGAGCACTTGACGTAGGAAGCCCCTGCTCAGTGGGGCTGCGGTGATGGCACGGGGCCTGAGTTAGGTGGGGGGTTCCGCACAGATCTGCCGAGGCCCAGGGGGTTCACGGGCTTCTGTTTTCCACACTCATCATCACCTGCCCCTCAGAACCCAGGAATATGCACAGAAGAGTTGCAGCAAAGCCAAGGTAGCCCAGGAAACACTGAGGATTCACATCGAATCACCTATGTCATTCCACTGTGGACACTGTTTCGACATTATAGCACGAGTATCTAAAAACATGAGTTGTACATTTAAAAATAGTTCCTTTTTATAGTCTTGTTTCAGATTTTGAGAGATCTAATCTCTAATCATAGTGGTACTCCTAAAATGAATGCGATGGGAAAGTAGTGCCTGAAGAAAGAACAGCATTCCAAGAAGAAAGATGAAACCAACTCTGATATCATGTTAGCTGCTTCTATGAGCTAAACCAACAAAGGATGCGATGGTAGGACTTTCAGTCTTTCAAGAGCTTCCTTCATATTTTACTTAATCATTGTCATCAAAGCATCACCTCCCCACTAAGGAACAAAAACACAATTTTCCTTGATAGTAAATCTAAGAACAACTATAAGAATAATAGTTAATGGCACTAAGATATCTATTAAAATACATGTGAAGTTTTTCCTGTGATTCACCGGTGAAGTACAAATTTATAGTTCAGTGACAAAAAAGTAAATTGTAAGATACTATTTTTTTAAAATAGAAAATTCTGAATAGAAATATTAAACATGCTTTAATATGAAGCCTTTAAACTAGGCGTTATTTTCTCTGGCACAGAACCCCAGGGTGTTCGGGGGGTGCCTATCCAGTATCTTTTGAAGCAGAGGTGATTAGAAATGCCCATAGCACACCTGGAATTAGCCTGTCCACATCTGTCAGCTCTCCTTTAGCAAAAGCTGATGCCACGGGGACATGGTTCAATTCACCTTGAGGTTAATTTTTTTTAAGGAATCAAAATCTTCCCTTTTTCCTTAGAAATATATATACCGCATTAGATGTTTTCCCTTCAGGCTCCCTCTAAAAGAGAAATATGTCACTGGAAGTTTTACTACTAAAAATGATGACAAAGAGTTGCTTCTAAATTTTAAAATCTTCAGATTGTTATGCACATACATATCTAAAAACATGAGTTATACATTTGCAAATAGTTCCTTAATATATTCCCGTTTCAGATTCTGAGACATCAGCTGTGCCATGACGTAATCCCCAATTACAACGGTGTTCTTAAAATGAATCTGATGGGAAAGTAGGTCTGGGCCACAGCAACTTCAGGAAACCAAGTGAGCAAAAAGCCTCTTAGAAACTGCTTACAAACACATCAAATAAAGGAAAATGCATACATTACTTCTAGGAATAACTAAGTAGACCAAAATTTAGAACTGTTAGTGTACAAATGTTCCACAGATCACCTCTGTAAACACAAGACAAAGAAAGAACAAGCTTGGAGGAAGGAAATTAAAAATATATCTATCGATCTCATTCTCAATCACTCTTTCTCAGCTCGATCTCCCAATCTCTCTTTTCCTCACCTCATGTCCCTGTCCCTCTCCCTCCTCCAATTTGATCCAACTACTAGAATCCCTTCAAAATAGCTTCCCCCATTAAAAACCTCTAAAACTTCCATGGCCCTCCGCAGATTCTTGCTAACCAACATCTAAGATGCCATGGCTTCAGATCCAATAACAATAACTTTGAAGTTGATGAGGCTGAGGTGGGATTTGGTCACCAAAGGCTTAGTCAAATGGGCAGCCTCTGGATCTTCTTTAGGGACACGGCTGTTGTGACTTGCTTTGAGACTGTTAGAATCATATCAGCTAATGGGGACCATCCTAGTCACAGACTTAAAAAAGCTCAGCTGTGCTTTCCAGTTTTAACAGCTTGGAATTAACTTCAGGATATCCAGTCAAGTGCTCCATCAAAATGAAGGCATTACAGGTAATCAGAGCTGATTTTTCCATTAATATTTAATATATAATATGTTTCATGGCAGCACAAAGTGGTAACACCTTTTATGGGTCTTGGACTTCTTACTTAGAAACCACGAAGCAAAGGGTTCCTGGAATCAGTCCCTGAACAATTCATTTTCTAGATTTAAGGGTAATTTAAAAGTCTTTCCTTCCAGCCCGTCAATTCCCCATAACTGAGAAAACAGTAGTGTGAAACAGGCTGCTTTTCTTCAGTTGATTATTTTTTTTTTAAATCCCAATGATGGTATATTAAGCTAGTCAACCCAAATGTTCAGCTTATTACATAAAGAAAACGAAACACTGTTACACGTATATGCCGATTCGCCTGCTCCTATCTGGAGAGAAAGGTGCGTTTGTGCAGGAGAACCATGCAAGCCGCCTGCCCAGCCGCCCCACTTACAGTTAGCCAGCCGGCTCTGCTCGGGCTGCGCGCTGTCCAGGGACTGGGTGCTGGAGACCGAGGTCACGCTGGAGCTCCGCACGAAGCCCAGCGCCGCCAGCTTGGCTGCGGGCAGGCGCGAGTATCCCGGAGGACGAAGTCCAGACTTCGGTAGACAGGATTTGGCAGCATTCGAACTGGAGGCTTTCTTTAAATCTCCTAAATTAACCCAAACAAACAAACAAAAAAATATTTCTCAGTTGAAAGCAAGATAGACAATATACAGAGTATGAATATTAATCCAGTTCTAGCATAAACAGGCCATGAGTAACCTTAGGGTCCAATTAGCACATTCACAAGCACACCTTCCTGAGAAAGCCCCTAACTGTGGGCCAGGACCTTCAAAGACCTCAAAGAGAAGGAGAGGCAGAAGGTGGGTGGGACAGGAACAGACACTAACCCTATTGTAGAGTCATAAAGAAAGATGCAAAGTGCTTAGAAGGCTGAAGGGAATGAGAATGCTTACTGTTGCAAGTTGCCCTAGAACTGGCAGGGGTGTTGAGTTATGTTAGCTGGTAATGAAAAAATATGTGATTTAATATACACCCCAGACCAATAAAGTAGGACAGGTTAATTACGTTGCTGTTCATTAGGTCTTTAAACCTTGTAGCCACGAAGTATAAAAGCCTGACATTAATTTTGTGACTGATTATATTAAATACAGAGAATGAAAGGATAGATTGAGATACACCTTAAAATCTGGCATACAATGGGCAAAGGACCCTTGTGGCCACTATTCATTAGTAATTATAACCAGTATGTGTGAGTCATGGAAACAGGTAAAAAGAGTCATTGTATGAACCTTTTGTTGGTTATAGGAATGAGGTGGAAAGGGCCCAGACGGTGGTGCTGGCCAGGTTGGAATCTAGGCTGTACCAGTGACGAGTGGTGTAACTTTGGCCCGTTACCTAACACTAAGAACCACAGCTTCCTTTCCCAAAGGAACTGAGGATCGCAAAGCTCGCCTTGCAGGTTTAATATAAATATCCCTGCCTATCATATCAAACTTGAATTAATGTTAGGTTTCTCTTCTCCTTTTCTATTACTTGCTTTTGTGTTAGTACAAACTTCAAAATTAGTTCCCAGACATATGCAAATCTAGCCTTTAAAATAATAAAACATCATGCTATAAATCCATCATCTCAGTACCACTACATCTGAGCAGTATTCTTATGATCATCACGACACTACAAGAAGCCTCTCAGTACCAGATAGAAACAGAATGCTGTCAAGATACAAATACTCCATGATACAAAATTTAAAAAGAAAAAGGGCCAAGTCACTTAGTATTCTGTATCATCGTCTTAGCCAAGCCATTTAACAACTTCCCCTGCAACCATATTTACTGTGAGCGCTTATATTCATATCCCTCAGCAGTGTAGTAAGTCATTATACAGTGAAAGACTAATCAGAATGCAAATTAAACATAATTTTTAAATGACCCATTTGTAAAAAAAAATACCGATGTTTAAAAATTAACAAAATCTACATATTAGAAAGTTTCTATGGGTGGATCTATAGAAAGAACTAATAGCCACACTGGGTTTATGGGGCCTCTTCCTTGACCAGCAGTTCCCCCTAAGACAGCGGTTCTCAACCTGTGGGTCGCGACCCCTTTGGCGGTTGAACGACCCTTTCACAGGGGTCGCCTAAGACCATCCTGCATATCAGATATTTACGTTACGATTCATAACAGTAGCAACATTACAGTTATGAAGTAGCAACGAAAATAATTTTATGGTTGGGTCACAAGATGAGGAACTGTATTTAAAGGGCCAGAAGGTTGAGAACCACTGCTCTATACAATGGTCTCTCCTACCAGATAAATCTTACAAACAGTATATACCTTCAAGGTTTAGAGGAGCAAGTCTTATTTCTTTTACACTATCAGTACTTAGCCCTAGTGGTATAGGTAAAACTTGTACCATTTGGTTTTAACAAATTATTATTCAATAAAGTTTACAAGATGCCAATTCATCCTGTGAAATGGTCACATTCAGATTTTCTAACTAAATATGCCTCAATTTAATGTTAGTTTCTTATAAAAATGGACTTGATTATAAAAAATATACAGTCCTTACCCTTTTTTCAAACCAGTCCAGCATGTCAGGGAACATATTTTTTCAAGTGTTTTGTATCCTTGGACTATTCATGAATATAGACTTTGACAGAAACAATGTATCAACATATATAGTAAGCCCTCAATAAACTAATGATAGTGGTTAATATTATAATAAAACTGAGGAGCATGTAAAGGACACTACTACCACAATGGTAGCATGAGAAGCTCGATGGATACTTTTTTCCAGTGAAATAAACAAAATTTGTGAAAATGGTTTGTTTTTAATATATTTTATTGATTTTTTACAGAGAGGAAGGGAGAGGGATAGAGAGTTAGAAACATCGATGAGAGAGAAACATCAATCAGCTGCCTCTTGCACACCCCCTACTGGGGATGTGCCTGCAACCAAGGTACATACCCTTGGCCGCAATCGAACCTGGGACCCTTCAGTCCGCAGGCCAGTGCTCTATCCACTGAGCCAAACCGGTAAGGGCGTGAAAATGGTTTTTTAAAAAACAACAGCTCTGGCCGGTTTGGCTCGGTGGATTGAGCGTTGGCCTGTGGACTGAGGGGTCCCAGGTTCGATTCCGGTCAAGGGCACATGCCTGGGTTGCGGGCTTGATCCCCAGTGGAGGGTGTGCAGGAGGCAGCCAGTCGATGATTCTCTCTCATCATTGATGTTTCTATCTCTCTCTCCCTCTTAATTCCTCTCTGAAATCAATAAAAATATATTTAAGACAAATTTAAAGTCTCTGGAAATTGTTCTAAGGGCTTACAGCAAATAAGAAAACACTTATGTAAGAAAATCTATTAAAATCTCAGTAAGAATAGTGATAGTGGATGATACCTTAGCCATGACCTATTCCCTGCCTCTCCTTCACCCCATTCATATCAGCATGATGAAAAGTTTACTCTGGGTGGGAATGGCTAAGATGACAGGTTCCTCTTCCTGCTGGAGTATGGCATGCTAGTGGGAGATGCAGGCTACCACCATTTCGCATCCACATCCAAGAGAAACACATCACTATTTCCACTCCTTATAGCACAATCATGACTAAGAGATTTTGCCCAAGAGTAGAGACAGGTCATAAGAACAAAAATGGCTGAAGCACTGTGCAAAGAAACTGACTTTATTTGGAATAGAGTATGGGAAAAGTTCAAACTTAAGTGCATTCTTGAAAATAAAGCAGATTCTTATGGTATGCAATGAGGAAGAGGCTAGTAGCTCTATAATAGCAAGAAGATAAACTATAGATAAGACAGTTTACCTAAAAGAACCAGGAAAAGAACTAATAAAGAGCCTTCTCAGACTCAGGATTGAGGTTTCAAAGAGTGACTTCAAAAACTAACCCTGAAGAAATAAGACTTGCAGAGTGGAGAAACTAAGATGGCGGCATAGGTAAACACCGGGAAATTGTCGCCGCACACAACAATTGAAAATTACCGCAAAGGACTGAGCAAACATCATCCAGAACAACAGAAAGGCTGGCTGAGTGTAAATTCTACAACTAGAAGGAAAGAAAAGCACGCTGAGAGCCAGAGGCGCTGCGGAGGTGAAGTGCAGAGGTACGGCGGCTCGCGCGCGCGAGGAAAGGGGGAGGCACCTGAGGACGCGGCTGTCTTTTTGAATCACAAGCTCCCGACTGCTCTGAACTCCGGTTCCGGGAAGTCTCTGGGGACCCAGGACTCATACGGGGAGAAGCTGGTCTGTCCGGCAGTGGGTGAACTTGAAGGCGGCTTTCCCTCAGAGGTGCTTGCAGCAATTAGCAGGTCACTGAGACCTGCGACTCCGGGCGGAGAATCAGCCATAGCTCCTTGATCCGCCCTTTGATTCCCTGAGACCCCGCCCCACCCAGGCTGCGGCAGAGGCTTTTGCATGTGAATGTACCTAACTGCAGCCGAGCCAGGCAGACCCGGAACTTCCAAGAGAAGGCCCAAGGCCCCGCAGTGGCTTGCATTGCTTCACAGCTGAGCCTCTTCGTGGCTCCTGCTGTGTGGCCTCAGGCAGAGGCTGAATTAGCACCTCCTTAGATCCAGGAGCCACTGTACCCAGTGGTCAGAGGGGGACCATCCAGACTGCAACTCCTCAGATCCATAAGGGACACACTCAGGGAGCAGACTCAGTGAGCACCAAAGCCCCACTGAAGCAAGTCTTGCCCCAGAAGGGTGTCTTCAGCACAGAAGTTCTCCCACTTTAGACACAGCTGATTCTCACAGCCAATTGGCCTGGAGGTCAATTCCTCCCAGTGATTCTACAACAACCAAGGCACCAAGAGTGCACCAAGAGTGTCCACCCCAGGTAACTGGGGAGGCTGAGCTACTGGACCCTACAGGACACCTGGTGCGCAGGGCCACTCTATCAACACAGGGAAGCTGCCAAAATGCGGAGACAAAGAAACAGGTCACAAATGGCAGAAATGGAGGAAAGCAAACGATTGGATATAGAGTTCAAGGCCACGTTTATAAGGTTTTTCAAGAATTTTATGGAAACCGCCGATAAATTTAATGAATCCCTCAATAAGTATAGGGAGACCATGGAGGACATGAAAAAGGACCAACTAGAAATTAAGCATACACTGACTGAAATAAAGAATAATTTACAGAGATCCAGCAGCAGACAAGAGGATCCCAAGAATCAAGTCAAAGATTTGAAATACAAAGAAACAAAAAATACCCAACCGAAAAAGAAAAAAGAAAAGAGATTCCAAAAATATGAAGATAGTGTAAGGAACCTCTGGGACAACTTCAAGCGTACCAACATCAGAATTATAGGGGTACCAGAAGGAGAGAGAGGGCAAGATATTGAAAACCTTTTTGAAGAAATAATGACAGAAAACTTCCCCTACCTGGTGAAAGAAATGTACTTACAAGTCCAGGAAGTGCAGAGAACCCCAAACAAAAGGAATCCAAAGAGGACCACACCAAGACACATCATAATTAAAATGCCAAGAGCAAAAGATAAAGAGAGAATCTTAAAAGCAGCAAGAGAAAGACAGTCAGTTACCTACAAGGGAGTACCCATACGACTGTCAGCTGATTTCTCAACAGAAACCATGCAGGCCAGAAGAGAGTGGCAAGAAATATTCAAAGTGATGAA